GCCGTCGCGGGCGGCCTGGCGGGCGGTCTTGGCCGGGCCCAGCGCGGGCTCCTCGCGGTAGTGGCCACAGCTCGGGAAGCTCGCCGGTGGCGGAGGTGGTGGTGGCTGAGGCGTGGAGTCCTCGCTGAACCTGCGCGCGGCGGTAGGCGCTGCGAAGACGGGTGACACGTTAGACTCCTGCGCAGGGGGATCAAGGAGTAGTACCCAAAGCAACACCGAGTCTGGGAGCCAGGGCGCGCCCACCACTCCTCGACCGTGCGGACCCACCGCAGCCCGTGCGCTGCCAACTCGGGGTCACCCTTCCCCTTTCATCTCTTTCCACATTGCAAGCCTGCACTGGCCACGCAAAAAATGCATTTAAATGACTGATAACATTAAAAGTCAAAAGAAAAACCGGGGATAAGAATGTGATTAATATATTTTATTTCATCTCATGTGTCCAAAATATTAGTTCAGTGTGTTGTTGTTGGAGACCATAGAGTGGAATCCAACCCATAGTGCCCCTGTAATCTCTAGAAGAGCTGAAACCGTATCTTTCTCCTGTGATTCTAACCCTCAGCCTTTTGATTAGCAGTCACATGTCTAGTTATTGTGTCACGTGAGAGCTCCTTTTTCAATGTGTAATCAATGTAAGCATTATTGAGATTGTTGTTGTCAAGTGCCCTGGGTTCCGACTTATAGGATTTCCCAGGGGCGGCTGGTAAGTTTGAGCCACTGACCTTGTGGTTCAAACCGACCTTGCAGTCCAGGGCAATATCCTACAGCGTTCATTTATTGATTAGTACTATCTTCGAAATCCAGTGTCCTTTTTACCCTTACAGCACATTTCGACTGCACTAGTCACATTTCAGTGCTTAGTGGCCATCTGTGGCAAGCAGTGACTACATTAGACAACACAGATCTAGCGTCAAGTGGCCCCAGTCTACCCAGAGTTTTGCCTATCCTCATTGGGGAAGGTGGTAATCACCCGGCTCTGCTTAGAATTATAAGAATTGAAGTAATAAATGCCCCCTCTTAATTGTTGTTAATGGGAATGCTCTGGTAGCGTAGTGGTTACGAATCGGGCTGTAAACCGCAAGGTCAGCAGTTCGAAACTACCAGCTGCTCCGCGGGAGAAAGATGAGGCTTTCTACTCCCGTAAAGATTTACACCCTCGGAAACCCTGTACAGGGTCGCTATGAGTCGGTTCCGACTCCACGGCACATAACAACAACAACAACAATTGTTGTTAAGTGCTGTGGAGTCGTCGTCAACTCATAGCAGCTGGTGGGTTTGGAACACCAACTTTATGGTAAGCAGTTCAGTGATTATCCTACAGTGCCACACCAGGACTTTCCACTTAATAGATGTCTGAAATCAACTAACTCCCTGTGTTTTGACCTTAAGATTGAGCAGTAGATCACAAATTGACCCAAAGTAGCACCTTCATGCATTTTTAACAAGTGTGTGACAGACTATACGGTTATTCATCTCTCACACACACGTACACAAAAGCATTTTTAAAAAGTCAAATACTGTGTCAAATTCAGACACTGAGAAAAACAACTTAAGCTGATCTCAAGTGGATAGTAATAAATAACAAACAAACAAATAAATAATAATGATGTTACAAAAACACTTTTTTCTGTCTTTCTTTCCCTGGCTGTTGAGGAGACCCCTTCTTCTGGTATTTGGGATATATAGGAATGAAGATCCAAATCCTTATCTGAGAAATCAGCTGCCCTGACCTGGTCTCTGGAATGTTCTTATCTAAATTGGTTATTTTTGAAAGGCACGTTTGTTTTAGTGATGCCCCCAAAGGTTAGATTTCTGTCCATGATCTGCTCCCTCTTCAGTTTTGGAGAAGAAATGTAAGACAGCCTTACAGCACAAACCAAGAGAAATCTGTGAAAGGAGAATGAGGAGCAGGAGAAGGAGAGGGAAGGAGAGGGGGGCTGACGTAATTCTCTGGGACACATCATCCTGACCTAACAGTTATCTAGCATTTAGTGGTGCCCACAGGGTATTTGCATTGTCTTGATCTACACTCCGGGCAGTACAATAGTAATTGTTAGTTGCTGTTAAGCCAACCCCATAACTCATAGACTGTCCAGTCCTGCACCATTCCCATCATGGGTTGAAGATACAGTCTGGAAGCTCTACAGAAATCTGGTCAGCATCACAGAAACACTATCTGTTCATGAGGTACACTGGTTAGGAGTATGAACTGGGTCTCTGACAAAGAAGGCAAGAATTCTACCACCAAACCACCACTGCCTCAGATAGCAGTTGTTGTTGTTAAGTGTCGTCGAGTTGGTTCCAACTCATAGCAACCCTGTATAGGGTTTCTAAGGAGCAGCTGAGTAGCTGGTGAGTTTGAACCACTGACCTTCCAGTTAGCAGTTCAGTGCTTATTCTACAGCACCATACCAGGACTCCAGACAGTAAGGAACTAGGTCTGGGTTTTTCAGGACTCCATCAGTGGTTCAAGCTCACCAGCTGTTCTTTGGAAACTCTACACAGGGGGGTTGGAACCGACTCGACAGCACTTAACAACAACAACCCACTGTAATTACCCCTAGCCCCATCCCCCACTACCACTGAGGTTGATTCAATGAACAAATAGGTGTCTGTCTGGGTCAGGGGTGGCCTTTTCATTGAGGACATTTGTCCGTCTGCCACAAGAAATGCTGACTGAAAGGCCATTCCTGTCTCTGTTGTTAAACTAGTCATCCTGAGCAGACACCGACCCTGTGCCAAGCCCTGGGGTTAGGCACATCACGTAGCTTATGATCCTATTTTGCAGATAGAGAAACTGAGGCCTGGAGCATTTATGTTATTTGTCCTGGGTTGATGAGTAACACTTGTTTTCCACACAGGAAAAATAAACCAAATATTTGCCTCCCATATTCATTTTCGGGTGGAGTGGAAAGTAACTTTGTAAAATAAATTCACTATGACCCTCAGTTCTGGTGTGGTGGTATAGGATAGGCACTGGACCTCAAGCTTAGTTTGAACCACAAGGTTGGCTGTTTGAACTAACCAGCCGCTCCTTGGAAACCCTATACAGGTCGCTAGATGAGTTGGAACTGACTCAATGATACTTTAGAACAACAACATGGCCCTCAGTCTCCCTTGAGGTCTGGAAATGACGTCACCCCATGCGGTGAGTAATATATATATAGTGGCTGGGTAGGCATGGGAAGTGGGGGGATACCACCACCAGTGAGGTATTCACACTATAAAATGGTCCACCATTTGAGATCAAAAGGGCCAAGGACAACGTTCAGAAAGGTTGGGAAAGAAGTAGGTATGGGAAAAAGAAACACAGGGATGAAGTGGCATTCGTCCTGTTATATTGAAAGGATTGCAATCTGTGAGATGAAATGCAGTGTATGGTATGTTGGACATAAAACAGACTTGTTTGTTCTGTAAACCTTTACCCATTCACAAGAAAAAGTTTTCAGTTACTAGGGAGATAAAATAAGTGGAGTGAGGACCCTTAGTATATCAGATCTGGCTTTGTCTCTCTGTTGAGGAAGAAAAGAGGCCAGGCTTTTTTATGGAAGTGGCTGGCTATCCCGTTTTCCTCCACCTACCATACTAGTGTCACTAGTATTTAGGCAGCATAACCATGCTGTTAGTATATTCACTCTCTCCTGGGGCTCTGGCATGGAAAGCAAGAAAGCACAGCAATTCCTACTTAAAAGCAGAAAAGGGAAACATTTGCCCGGAGTGGGAGGATGCTTTTTCCATCTGCCACCCATCAACACTCCCCTGGCAGCTCCAGGTCCACCTCCTCCACCCAGCCCCCCACTCCCACATGCGAACATGACCCACCTTCGTAGTTTGGCACAAGATTGTGCCGAGCAATGTTCACCGACGGCTCGGGAAGGTTCTTAGCTGGAGATGGACTGCTAGGCACTAAGGGGTTGGCATAATGCCACTGGCACTCGCTGCTGGCTGGCAATGTGCTCAGGAAGAAACGTGCCACCTCACACGGGGACCCTTGGGGCTGCCCGAACTTGGATGGCAACATTGGCTTTTTGCTGCTGAAGACGTGTGAGTCTAAAGGGAAGTGTCCATAGTGGTAGGAGAAGGGCAGGCTATAAGGCGGGGCGTACAAAAGGTCACTGCTTTCTGAATGAAGCTGCTGTTCTGAGGGTGCCGGGGCGGTCGCTGTGGGGCTGGCTCGCCAACTTCCCAGCTGGCCACAGTCCAGTTTGTCCATTTGGAACGAGCTGTATTGCTGCGTGGCAAAGAAGGCAGGTGAAAAGCCTGGCAGGGGATGGGGAGTCAGCCACCTTCCAGCCCTACAAGATCTATACCATGAGAGGGTCCCAACCCCATCCCAGGACTGGACCCACCATAGCCACCACTGTGAGGTACCCACTGGGGACAAGTGCATGGCCAGCAGTACCCCAGTGACACTCACACACAACAGACACACTTCTTGTTGTTGTGAATTGCTGTCAAGTTGATTCTAACTCACGGCAGCCCTATGTGTACAGAGTAGAGCTGCTCTGGCATTTTTAAAGCTGTTGCCTTCCAGACTCCTGTTGTGGTGCTGTAGGAGAAGCACTGGACTGCTAACCACAAGGTTGGTGGTTCAAACCCACCAGCCACTCCTCAGAAACCCTATAAAGGGTCGCTATGAGTTGGAACCAACTCGACGGCACTTAACAACAACCAGCTTTCAGAAGCAGATCATCAAGCCTGTCTTGAAAGGTGCTTCAAGGTGGGTTCAAACCACCAACCTTTCTGCTAGTAGTCGAGCGCTTAAGAGTTATGCCACCCAGGGACTCCTACAGACACATTTGCTGTTTTAAAAAAATACATATATTTTTTAAAATGATAAAAAGTAGAGAAATAGAGGAAAGATTCTCATTTTTAAATGCTATGAAAACACTGGTGATCTAACCCACCTTTAATCTTGTTTTTACTAGATTTTGTTGTGTTGTTGTTAGCTGCTGTAGAGTTGGTCCCAACTCATGGTGACACCATGCACAATGGAATGAAACACTGACTGGTCTTGTGCCATCCCCATGATGGGGGTGCAGATCAGACCATTGTGATCTTCACTAGCTTCATTAGGATTTGCATCAGCTGATTTTGGAAGTAGATGGCCAGGTCTTTCTTCCTAGTCTTAGTTTGAAAGCCCCACTGAAATCTGTTCTGCATCTTTGCAGCAGACAAGCCTCCACTGACAGATGGGAGGTGGCTGTGCAGAAGTGCATTGACTAGACTAGAACCCTTCCTGCGTGGAAGGGGAGAATTCTACCCCCAAACCCCCACTGCCCCCATTTCTTACACTAATAATTCCACCTGAACATCAGCTTTTCATTGCCTCTCCTGCTCTGTTCCTACCTGCTAGCCAGGACATCCCACAGGGACCCTGTTTCACTCGACAGTCAACCTTCCTTCCGGGTAGGGAGATCCCTGCTATACAATCCCTTCATGTTTCTGGATGTTCCAAGCCCCCAGGAACAGATGCTACCCACACCTTCCCGCGCAGGATGTGTGTGCTACCTGGGGAGGGTAAGGGTTTGTTCTCAGCTTTGTCTTCATCTTCGTATTTTTGGGCTTAGCTAATTTCCTAGTTTCTTGTGAGGTAGACAAGGTGGTCCTCCAGGAATCCTGGGATTTGGAAGTGGAGACCTGGTCCAGGGACAACTGAAGTTCCTTGTATTCAATATCCCTGGGAAGCAAAAGGAGGACAGGTGATGTCCAGCAGGCTGTGGAAGGAGAGTGGCGTGAACTTGCCCTGGCACCACCCCCTGGCAGGTTCATTCTCAAAGTTGTTGTGTATCATTTACGGAGTTGAGTATGGGTGGGGTTTGAGACAAAGGAAACCCATCTTCATCATATAAGTCACCCTGTAGTCCTGGGCTCAGAGACCCCAGAAAATGCAGAATAGAAGGGGTGGTCAATGCAGCTCTCTGTAATTCCATAAAACCCCAGGCATTTCCTGGGACATCCTGGCTCAACAGGAAGGACAGAAAGGCAAAATTCACGTTTATCCAATGTAAGTATCTGTGACTCAATTCATCTCTACTTGGTACTCCAAAATGTGGAAACGGAACAAACTTTGAGGGTCCAAGAGCCTGGTTTCCAAGGCATCTAGTACCTATCTTGCCCTACAGAACCAACTTTATATACTTGTTTGCTTAGGAAGAATAAGAGGCTAAAACATTCTCCCTACTACAGTTTTGTTAAAACCAACCTACTTCTAAAATACGGGGACCTGGCAATATTTATATGAAAGAACCTAGAACCTAAATTCTGTCTACATCAGGACACAGATGGGACTGAGGGAAGTGCAAAAATCTCAAGTTCATAGCCAGAGCTATGCGCAGTGAGGATTCATACAGACTAGCCATAGTGGGAGCAGGGTAATATTCAGTCCCAAGCAGACTTACGTCCTATTGGTTCTAATGGTCTTAAAAGCTTTTGTGACTGAATGTGAACTTCTGGATTTTTTAAGGGATAAACATTCACAGTCGTTTGTGAACTGTTTGCATGACGCTGTAGAGCAAGCACTAGAGAGCAAGATTGGTTTGAAGTGCAAGGTTGGCAGTTCAAACTCACCAGCTGCTCCTTGAAAACCCTATACAGAGTCACTATGAGTTGGAACCAAATTGATGGCTCTTAACATTATATAGGAAAAAGGAACACCCCATGGTCCTGTATAATAAGCTCTGAACTGTAACCCACAAAGTGGGCAGTTTGAGTCCACCAGCCTCTTTGTGGGAGAAAGATGAGGCTTTCTGTTTGCACAAAGGCTTACAATGTCAGAAACCCTGTACCAGGGTGGCTATGAGTCAGAACTGACTTGATGGTACTTAACAACAACAACAAACGAATATAGGAAAATGGAGTAGGGTAGAAATATTTCTTCTGCCCCAAATGATGTGCAAGATTACCCAAATGTTTGTGGGCATAAATGGTTACCAGAGGTGCATATTCCTTATTTGGGACATACACCCTCATTGCATTCCATTCAAGATGGGGGCAGGCACCTTCCGCCCACCACACCCTTATCTGGGCTCTCGGTTGGGTTCTGTAATGTACCCAGGGCCTAGCTGCCTTGCCAGTGCCTAGAACTTTGTCCCCAATGCTAACTCTAGAAATCTTTTGGGTCTTGCAAAACTACTGGATTGTTAAAATAAAGAAGAAACATGTGACGAAGGAACAGCCTGAGAGAGACAGAGAGAGATGGTGCTCGTTGCAGCGATCTGATGAGGGGCAGGGGAGAAGGCGAGAGCAAGGAGAGGAACAAAGACGTCTGACTTACGTGAGGACATAATTGACACTCACGATGCAGTGGGGCCGGGAGGAGCGGCTGTTGTGCACGATGGTGGCGTAGCTCTGCACCCACACCCAGCCGCCCAGCTTGGACAGCAGCCGGTAGTACTTGGTGGTGACCTGGCCCTTCACCAGCACTGAAAGACAAGATGGCGTGAATCCCATGAGGGGCCGGGGAGAAGGGACCTTCACCCACCCCCAGGCACCGCTAGCAACCTCACAACTGTAAACTTTGGATGATGAGCCAGCTGTGCTTTGGGGTTGCTGTTCCCTTCTACTCCCCGTACCCCACCATCACCACCAATGACCAATATTCCTGGTTCTTAACCTCTCTGGGGCCAAGGATGCCATTGAGAACTTGATAAAAGTGAGGAGCTTTCTCCTCAAGAAGATCCATGCTTGCACATAAATGCAAGATTATTGCCTAAACTCTCCCTTCACCACCCCTCCCCCTGCCCTGCTAAGAACTCTGATTTCACAGTCACTGCTTTCATTGGGAGGAAGAGTAACCCCAACAACTGGCCAGTGTTTGTACTGGCAAAGTGGTCAACAGTTCCACTGCATTTGCTTTTAGTTTCCAAATTGCCACTATTATGGTTTAAGCCTCAAAGCCCTTACTGGGTGGTGGGGGTGGGTGGGCAATGTGGTTATTTAAACAAAATAGTAAGTGAAGGACATTCAACTAAGTGTCAAATTGTCATTGGTCTTTACTGTTCACCAGAATGTGTATGTGTGTGTTCCCAGTGAAGCCTTTTGATACTCTATCACATGTAGGAAAGACCTTAGCCTGAATAAGCAGTCCAGAAAATTGGGCCAGCGGTGCACCCATCTTCTATGCATTGGTGCAAATTTCGGGGGGTGTTGAGCAGTTTGCTTCCAAAGCCCTGGTGCCCCCATAAACCTGCAATTCCCCCTCAGACCCTCCTAAAGAGCAGGTGGGGGAAAGCTGATGGGAGAGGAAAGTGCTGGAACCCCTGCAACAGAAGCTTAGGCTGCCGGGAGAGGAGAAAATCGAAGGAAAAACCCTTATCCATAAGGTTAATATACGGAGAAAAATGGAAATGGTTAAGGATTTCATTCTACTTGGATCACATTCATGGAAGCTGTAGTCATGAAACCAAATGCCACATATATCAGGCAAATCTACTGTAAAAGACCTCTTGAAATCTCTCAAAAGCACAGCTCTCACTCTGATGACTAAGATGCATCTGGCCCAAAACAGGGTCTTTTCAATCACCTCATATGCATGTGAAAGCAGGACAATGAGAAAGGAAGAAAGAGGAAGAACTGATCATCCCAACTGTGGTGTCCTTGAAGATTACAGAATATATTATAGAAGAAATGTCTTAGAACGGAGTATAACATGACTGCATCTTGCTTACATTGGGCAGATCATCAAGCGAGTCCAATAGCTAGAAAAGGACATTATGTTTGGTCAAACAGATGGTCCGTGAAAACAAGACAAACTTTCTATGAGATGGAGGGGCACAATTATCAATTGGCTAAACTATCAATTGTGGAGATGACCTAAAACTAGAAAGTTCTGCTACAAATAAGGCCACGATTATAGATTGATTTGTGCCCACCCCACCAAATATATATGGATCAACTTGCCTAGGTTACGATTCTTAGTGTTGTGGCTGTTATGTCATGATGGAATTTAGCAGTTATGTAATGATGGAATCAACTTCTGTTACCTGATCTGATGGGACCAGCAAATCAGATGTAAGTGGATTAGGGTGGGAGGCAACCCCCTAACTTAGGTCCCAGCCCTGATCTTATCTAAGGGCAGTGCCCCTGGGGTGTGGCATGAAGGGAGAGAGAAATGAACAGAGAGGGGGAAACCTCATTATGACGAGAAAAGAAGAGCTGAGAGCACAGCACATACTTTGGATCCAGGGTCTCTGTGATGAGAACCTCCTAGACCCAGGGGAAGATCTATTTCAAGACATATGGGGATCACCAAGAACACCACATCCACAGAGGCTTAAAGGAGACAAGGAATTTCCTCCTAAAGTGTGAGCCAACAGAAAGAGAAAGTCTTCCCCTAGACTCCTAAACTAGGAGAGAATAAATTTCTGTTTGTTACTATCCACTTGTGGTATTTCTGTTGGTTCTAAGAAAAATATGCACTTGAAAAAAAAAGCTCATACAGAAAAACCCCACTGTGATAAATGCACACAACACAAATGCACACAGAGATCATTGCTAACCCTAACCCTAACTTTAATCCTAATTAGTATATGGATTTTTGCAATGTGGCTGTTTTCATGTGTGCATTTTTTCTGGTAACCACTTCTGTTATAGCAGGACTAGGTAACTAAGACAGTCACTGACTTGACAGCAACTAACAACCATCGCCTTCTCCTGGGAGGATGAGGTCAGGACACCCCTGGACATTCAAGTTTCCCAGCTACAGGAGATTCCTCCTTCTCAAAAGCAGAGTTCACCCCTGCACTCCCTCACCAGTGGCCACTGAGTGGGGCTTCACAGAGGGGAAAAGGAAGCTGAGGATGCTGAAGGAGAGCCCGAGGTTTACAGACAACTGTTAGCTCTCATATTGTACCACAAGGCCAACCCCTCTCACTTTACACACGAATACTTTCTAGAGTCTCCATTGCCTTCTTGTGACTTCCTTTCACTTTGAATATGTCCTTTATTGTCCACTGTTAAGACTTATCTAAATATTTGGGTACAGAAGAAAAATCACTACAAATATGAGAGCCAAGAAGTTATTATATCCTTAATATATAAAGAGTTCACAAGAACCAATAAAATAGTTGCCATCAAGTTGATTCTGTCTCCTGGTGACCCCATGTGTATCAGACTACAACTACTCAATAGGGTTTTTAGTGGCTGATTTTTTTTTTTTTTTGAAATAGATCACCAGTCTTTTTTTCTAAGGCACCTCTGGGTAAACTAGAACCTCCAACCTCTCAGTTATCAGCTGAGCACGTTAACCATTTGCACCATCCAGACTGATAAAAATACTAACGACCCAGAAATGATATGGACAAAAGACAAAAGTAACAATTCACCAAAGAAGAAATACAAATGGCCAAAATGACAAGTCATTTTTTGTTCAGCTCAAAATGAGACGTTGTTGGCTACCCTCAAGTAACTATGTAATCTGGAGATATTAAAGAAGCAACATCTATTATAAAGTTTCAATATATGAAATGTCCAAAACAAAGTTACACTTTTTATTTTACAAGACAGAAAGGAACAGAGAAAGAAGGGACCTTACTACGACCAAGAAAGAAAAGTTTGGAGCAGAGAACCTGTGTTGAGAACCTCCTAGACCCAGGACACATGGGGATCTCCAAGTAATGCTGGGACCACAGATGCTGAAAAGAGACAAAGACCTTCCCCTAGAGTTGTTGTTGTTGTTAAGTGCTGTCGGGTCGATTCCGACCCATCGCGACCCTGTAGAGGGTTTCCAAGGAGCAGCTGGTAAGTTTGAACCATCCACCTTGCAGTTCAAACAACTTTGCAGCCTGATGCATTAGCCCACAGCACCACACCAGGACTCCCCTAGAGTGGGAGCGCTGAATTCAAACATCTAATTTCTTCATATGTGAGAAAAGAAATTTCTGTTTGTTAAAGCCATCCCCTTTCAGGAATTTATTTCTGTTCTAGCAGCTTGGAGAATACCATGATAGCAATGATGATGAAGATGGCCGAGGACTAGGAAACACTGAACTGACACATGGCAACTAACAACAACACACAACCAATAAAACAATGATTAATAAGGATTTTTAATTATATAGGAAATGTATATGATACAGTGTTAAATGAAGAAAAAACAAGAATCAGAACTGTGTATAGTGTAATCCTACTTAGGAAAAAAGCATGCACCCACGCTACCCCATACAAACACACACACAGACAATTAACTGTGACCCTGGCTAAGTTACTAACACCTCTTGTGCTCCAGTTTCCTCATTTACTAAAAGCAGATCACCATAATCCCTACATCCTATGATTGTTGTGAAGATTAGAAAATCTAGGTGAAGATTTAGGATCATGTCAGACAGGGAGGAAAGGTTTTGTCTCCTATGAGTATCAGTCTCTGAGTGATAAAATTACAGATAATTTTAATTTTCTTCTTTTCAACTTTTCTTGATTTTCTTAAATTGCCAGCAATGATGAAGTATTAGTTTTCTAAACAGAATGATTTCTTTTTAACATAGAACCCACTTTTTATGGAAGATGTGAGTAGAAATACAATACACATGAGGCTTTACATCCCCTTCAGGCAGAGTTAGAGGCAAACACCAGTCTTGCTGTGCAACAACGTTCTATTTGGCGAGATCAGTTTCTTTGGGGTGGTAAAGAGACCAACTCTTTCCCTTCTATGTTTAACATTCACATTCAGCAGACTCATTTGGCAGGAGTAAGATCCCATGTTGAAGGGTGTAGACAACAGGGGAGGCAGCAAGGAAGAGAGGTTTTCCAATGCTTTTCCTTATGGGGTTGCTTTTAGACAAAATTGCAGTTACTATTTCCAGCTAATATCTTTTGCTCTTGCTACAACCATAGAAAGTGAGTTTGCCAGGAAACGGGTCAAGTGAGTTGAAGGCACTGCTGGGGCCCAACCCAGGTGTTCAAACTCTGGTTTCTTAAAGCAGCAACTTTGAAGGCGGGAGGCCTCCAGAAGCTTCCAGAGTTTTCTGTAGCTCTATCTTTCAGGGGAGATTCAGTTAACCAAGTTTTTATTCCTCCAAATAACCCACAGATGCAACATGATCAAACAGGTCATTCTCTCTTCACTGGAAATGCTTTCTAATCTGTTTAACTTTGAAATTTATTGCTAGCAGTGTTTGTAGAACCCCTAGGGATATGACCATATACCTTTCCTTTGCTTAACTTACATTTTCTCTTATTTCTTACAACATTCCTAAAACCAATCACTAATCATCTAGAGCTAGAAAAAATGAAGCCAGTTTATCTTAAATATTTTATATTAAGGCTCAAATTACAGAAATTGCTGAGACTTAATCTCTGACCCTCTTTGGCTCTGCTATAATGAGGCTTAGATACAGAAACCAAACACACACACACACATATATGTGTATATATGTCAGCTTGAGGACTAAGATGCACCTGACCCAAGCCATGGTATTTTCAATAA